AGAGAGAAGGAGAGAAGGGGAGAGAGAGAGAGAGAGAGAGAGAGAGAGAGAGAGAGAGAGAGAGAGAGAGAGAGAGAACATTAGTGCAGGCAGGATAGTATGACATTCTAAAGCAGGGGTTTTCAAACTTGGCCCTTTTATGACTTGTGGACTTCAACTCCCAGAATTCCTCAGCCAGGCACGTGTGCCTGGCTGAGGAATTCTGGGAGTTGAAGTCCACAAGTCATAAAAGGGCCAAGTTTGAAAACCCCTGTTCTAAAGGTTTCTCAGAATGACCCTCAGCTTAAGCCAAAGAGTTAACGCTGATCCTTGTTAGTTCTGTGATCTGTCATGGATTGGGGAACCGTAACAGAGAACAGAGAAGAAGAAAAGAGGAAGTAGTAAGAGAGAGAGAGAGAGAGAGAGAGAGAGAGAGAGAGAGAGAGAACAACTGGCCCCAAAGCACAGTGGACTTCCATAGTGCAGAGTGGATTCAGCCCTGCATTTTCCTGGTCTTAGCAGACTACTGTGCTATTGAAGCTCTCAATTTACATTTGTATTGATTGCAACAAAGAACAATTAAGCAACCGATGAACTTTTTCCAACCTCTGAAGCGTAGCCCTAGCCTATATTTTTTCAGAATAAATGAACACAATGACAGTGCAATCTTGTATATGTTTCCTCAGAGGTCAGTTTTAATTCAACTGACGCATCGGACTGAAGTTTTGGCGGAGTCATATGTCATAGGATAAAAGTTTAAAAAGTGAATTTGAGTTTGTTGAATGTATCTATTTTCCCCACGGTTCACCTATCTGTGGCAGACTGAAAGGTATATCAAACATTGTATGAAAGCAGCAGACTTTTGCAGCACTTGCAACTGGATGGAAAGGAACGGCCAACACAGCAATTCTATTCATATCTCTATTTGAAAGCAGGTCCCTTTTAATCTAGTAATGCTGACATCCAGATAACGCTATAGAAGCCTTCCCAACCTGATGCTCTCAAAGTGCTTGAGAAAAATTCTGAATGATCCAGCTCCACTTCTCTTTTGAGTGCCAGCTACTGCCAGTCTTTTGTCTTCTTCAGAGTTACATTTGTTAGGCAAAGAGCCTCTCCTTTTTATTATTCTAGCAATCACTTTGGGATCCTTTCTGCTGCAGAACAAAGCAATATGTCTCAAGGAAGTACATGACAAGGGCAGAGAGCAAATGTTCCACAGATATTTTTAGACAGAAGGAAATGGGCATGTGAAAATTAAGCATTTTGGTGAATCTTGAGGAAAGAAAGCCTGTCTAATCTTGGCAGGGAGCTGGAATAGGGAGTCCCGTTCAACAAAACCTAATCCACTGATCAAAAGGAGATCTTCTGGGTCCACAGAATGTTTAAATGGGGAGGGGGGGAAATGGGACATTCAGGGAAAGGTACAAGGTAGTGAAGAGCCAAAATTCCTGTTGCAACATTTTCTAGTATGTTTTTCTCATCCTTTTCTAGCCAATACTTCTTGAGACATATTATTAGACCGTATTATTTTAATGTGCTATCTGTTACTTAAGGTTCTTCCAGCCGATGCCAAAGAGCAATCATCCTGCATTAAAGATGCCTGGCAGAACTGGATAAATTATTTCAGCCACTTTATCGCTGTTTGTCTGTTTAAACGGATACTACAATCCTGACAAAATGCAATAACCTTCTTGACCAAAATCTTCTCAAAAGTTTAATAATGTGAATCCTTTCAATTGACACTGCTTTGATGGGATTTTTAACACTTGTTCTCCAAAGTACAATTTATAATTTTGTCACACAGAGAATTATTAATTAAATAAGGATCGCTAAAAACAGTAATCAAAACAGAGAGAGTAATGGTTCCAATTCTAACCCTTTCAAAATTCCAATCACACAACTGGCTTCACTGGAGCAACTTATGCACTGACAACAGTCTGCGTTTCTCTCCTTTAATGGCAAAGTATAGGTAGAAAGAGGCAAGTTTGGACATGAAGTTGGATATGTTGGCATGAAACTCTGAACTGCTGCTAATTAGTACCGCAATTCATGCATCCAAACCATGATTTTAATAAAGATATATTATATAAGGCATCATTGTTGGGTTCATACATTATAGGAAAATTTAAAAGTTATATATATGAACCAGTCTCCTATAAAGCAATATTTCAGGTTTCTGACTGACTTTCCACATCAGTGGTATATCAAAACACATTCATCAATATTTGCCTAAATACACGAATTCAATCCTTGGCCATGTCAAAATAAAAAGGTCAGGTTTCAGGAAATGGAAAGAACTGGGAGAGTCACTGGCTGAGTTCACAAAATACACTGTTAATGTGTTTTTCTTATTTGGTTTTCACTTGCTATAAACCACACTGAACATGGTTTATTCAACAAACTTGTTAAAACAGGCCATGATTAAGCATAACATATAACCTAGCAAACACCTGTCAAACACACAATACTGTAGACAAGAATTGACAAAAACTCATTCACACTTCACAGAAACATGGTGCCTTATGCATATTGAATCAACATGCATGATTTTGTCTTTTTCCCATTTAGAGACCAAATAAAGGACAGTGAATTTGCAACTTCTTTTACACACACATCCATATTTAGCCTGCTGCCTAACAATGCTGTTATTAGCTTATCTCCTCATCCTGAATAAACAGTCACTGTACATCAGGAGTAACTGATCTCTCGCTATTGTGTCTCAATGATGTTGTTACCTAGTTTGGTAATGAAACATCTGCAAGAAAACTAATAAACTTAGAGAGCCCCAAGGATGCCACAGTTCAACCTTAAGCTAAAAATATTCTCTTCTATTTGTCTATTGCCTTCACTCTCTTTCTTAGTCTGATTAGGAGATCCTAGTTTCCTACTGCTTCATATCTACTTCCTTATATGACTATTTCACTGCTTAGAAGACTGGGCCATTTTGAAAGAAACTTGGACATCATTCTTGCTAACAGCTACTAAAATAACAAATCATTGTGGTGTGGATACCACAAGCTTCAACATCTCTGTTTGACCAAGGTACAAACATAAATCACTCCCTATTTCTTGAAGATAACTGAATATACTCTCTAGATCTTATAGATGTTCTTTCTCTCCTTAGAAATCTAGAAGAGTAGGACTCACTAAATCTGGTGCCTTAAGTTTGTGTTTCCAGGATTTGTTTAACCATAGTTTACTCTCCGAGTCCAACTTTCCAGGATTAAAAGGACACACCAACTTAAATCAGCAGGATTTGCGCAATGCATGAGGGTACATTATGTTCAGCTCTGTTGTAGTTTTATACCTGATATGAAACTAGTAAAAGCATGTGGCAATTTCCAGCCAGAGATAAAACAAGGCTGTCCAGTCTAGACTCATGAACAATCCACTTTTGACAATGGAGAGCTGGTCCTTCCACCACTATCCTGCAGCTAAGCAAGAGTTAGCCTTGCAGCCTAACTTTTCTATTTGGGTATTTGGAAGTCTGATCAAGTTCACTCAATGGCTGGTGGTACTTTGGGCTCAGTCTGGACTTTCATCTAGCTTCCTCTCCTTCCCTCCCTCGACTGTGGATACTGGCTCTTCTTACCTGACCCAGTTGTCGTGGAACTTGCTCTGCTGAGGTTCATTCAAGTAAATGGTGCGAGCTGCTGCCTCTCCCTGGTCTGCAGAGGACGTGGCCCCGGACATCTCATCATCCGCCTTCTTGTAGCCCGAATTAGAGCAAATGGGACCTGCCAGTAACAGCCAAGCAAGACAGAAAGCGACAGAAAGGAGGAAAGAGGCTATTAGTTACAAGGAGAAAGAGCCAGCAGAAAGTAAAGCGAGGAGCAGAGAGAGGGACCAGGGCCCAGAAGCCTGCAAAGCGCGCAAATCTCGCCATGCATCAATCCAATCGCCGCCCGAAGAGCCTCAGTTGGTCCGCTTGGAACAACCTCCTTTCGCAAACTAGCCCCCAAGGAAAGGTGGATCCCAGCGTCGCCGCCTCCGCCGCCTCCCCGTTGTTCCCAGATCTGCCTTCGCTCCCCAAAGCCCTCCCGGTGCAAGCGCGCACCATCCGAACCCGGCGCGCAATTGCTTTTTACTCCAACTGCTCTCGCGCGGCAGGAGAACAACGCACGGACCTTGGCTGCCGAAGCAAAACAACAACAATCAAAGTCGTGGCAAATAAAAAGGCGGGGCTTCCTCCAGTCCTGCCGCCGTCGCCGCTGCCAGCTGGAGAGACCGCCCTCCCATCGATCGCCGGCGGCGCGGCGACAGCCCCAATTAGCGGAAAGACGCGACAGCAGGTTTTGTTTTTAATGGATGAAAGAAAAGCGCGGACGGGATTACGCGCGTTAGGTTCAGGTTTGGTGGCGGCAAAGGACCAAAGAAAACTAGGACGAAACGCCCAGGGAAATGAAAGAACGTTATATAGATAGATGGATTGGTATATTTGCCCGGGAGCATCCTTCCTAATGTTCCTATTAGAGATTGACTGCTGAATAATGCAGGATGAATAAATCCTGCGTTTATCATTTGGAAAAGCAGTATATAATAACTTCAAGAGTGGCCTGGCAGGCAGGCCACCCCGAGCGTTTTGATGCTGGAGGTAAGTAGCAAACCATGGCAGCCCTGTTCTGCCACTGAATGGCGTCTCTTATCCTAGTAGTTGATTTAAGGCCACTGAGGATGAAACTTCTGCTAAGTGGCTTTTCAATATCCTGAAGATAAAAATAAGGTGGGGGAGAATTGGACATTTCTTTAGCTTTCAGGATACTACCACTCTAGCACAGTGGCTTCTTCGTTCAGGAGTTGGTCCATCTTTGCTAACATTTTATTCGTTTTATTATACACTTCAAGCAGTCAAGAGAGAATAGGGAATTTCTCTTCTCCTTCATACTTCAGTTAACACTTCTGTTGGAAGGTAATTTTGAATAAGTTTAGACAATTCAGGGAGAAGTTTGCATTAGTTCAACAACTACAAATTGTGGGCTTTTCCTATTGCATTTGAGGGCCCTCTTCCACAGTTTGTTGAGTGTAACTTGGATGTCTGCCATAAGGTCCTCTCTGTCTGGACCCAGTGAAGCAGACATACAATAGTGAAACAGCTGTTACAGAGTCCAAGGGAAAGAATGAACGGCACACCATCTGTTGTCTTTCCTAGCTGATTTTGCTGAAATCTCCATCTAGGTTTGTGTTCTGTTTAAGGATGACTCCTGTAGTCACATCTGGCAATAAAACTCACTGAATTAATATGATTTGTCGTTAGTGATTCGGTGTATATCCCACCTTTCTATCTATATTACTTTCAAGGGCAGATGTAAGAAAATACATCAAAAGTATATCCAGGCAGGAGAAGGACTCCTTCACACAGGCTGAATTCTAGTGGCTCTAAACAAGCTATTAAAGCAGTTATCTTTTCTTGGGCTCATGCAGCTGCCCTCTGCAGCTGGAAAAAGAGGGGTCTGATTTAAGATATTCCCAACAGGTGCTAGGTGCACAGGCAAGATACAAATGGTCTGAATCTTCTTCTATATAAATAAAAATGTAAATGTTCGTTTGTTCAAAATCTTAAATCTCTGAAAGTTCTTCACCGATTGCTTTGAAATTTTGACACAACGTTGCATTCGAATACGCACATGTTTTTATATACCTACTATTATATAGATGTCACACTTGTGACAGATAAAAACGAAAAAATATTGTATACCCACAAGCATTGTGAAATTAAACATATTACAAACGTGCGCTTTCTCTTTTCTTTCTTTTCCATTTAACCAGACTGAGCCACAGCAATGCGTGGCCAGGTACAGCTAGTAATTAAATATAAATTCTGCTCCACATTTTGCCCTTAACATCCATATCTCTGCACAGCTCTATTTTTAAAATACATTTTGGTAATAATAAAAATCTTCTATCATCACCAGCAACTTAATATTACCCCAGAAAAAATGAACAAAAGCTGTTATTTAGCCACTAAATCTAAATATAGAAAGCCAGTTTGGTATGGTTAAGGCATCAAGGCTAGAAACGTTTCATTACCAGGCTAGGTAACATCTTCAGCAGAGTTTAGGGGATGTCAGTGTCAGTGTTCTGTTTATAAGGGCTTCAGGTGTGGGTGTATCAAGTGAGGGTCTTGTGATGGGTCAGGTGTGGGTCATCAGTGAGAGGCTTGTGGTGGGTCTTGTGATGGGGAGGTTACTTCAGGGTCATTGGAAGGTGAACTGCTGGGAGGGGGAAAGGGGCTTGCATCAGTTGGTTGAGGGTCAGTGCTGTCTCTGGTTGGCTGTGTGGTTGATTTGGATTCTAATTCATAGGCTGGTTGTAGGTTGATGTGTCTGTTGATGGAATTGCTTGTGGAGTGCCAGGCTTTAAAGCTGCAACATCCCCATGGTCACATGATCAAAATTCAGATGCCTGGCAACTGACTCATATTTATGACAGTCACAGTGTCCCCGAGTCATATGATCCTCTTTTGTGACCTGCTGACAAGCAAAGTCAATGGGGGAAGTCAGATTCACTTAACAACCGTATAACTAACTTAAGAGCTGCAGTGATTCATTTAACAACTGTGGCAAGTTAGATCATAAAATGGGGCAAAATTCACGTAACAATTGTTTCACTTAGCAAAAGAAATTTGGGGCTCAGTTGTGGTCCTAAGTCAAGAACTACCTGTAATCCTTAATATTGGCTTATGCTCTTTGCATTAACATATGGTATACGTCATTAGCTACTTACTTTGTAACTATATTTACACGTAGCTCCAAAACTCCTGCCAGTCCATGTGCAAATCCATTCCATGTGGCTATTCTAAGGTTCAGGTATGTTGTTTGAATCAAGAAAAATGAATTGAATCAAGCATGGTTAAACTGATCATGATAAGCATGTAATGCAAATGCTCCATCCTGGCTTTTTCTGTTTTTTCCTGTGCAGGAAGTGGTATCTCATAAATATATGCTACTCCATAGTACTCAGCATAGGGGAGATGAACAAGGTTGGGCAAACCCTCCCAACCTCACCCTCTGCTTCTTTCTTCAAACTTATCATGGTTTTGAACATATACGTATACATGTACATATATATACACATACATACATGCATACTAAATTTTATATGATTTTTGATATTTCATAAAGATTTATATCTGTCTCTATTTCATAAAGATTGGTAACTACTAAGGCATAATGTGATTGATTTGGTTTTCAAGCCATTTGTTGTGGGAACCACCCCTTTGTGTTTGTAGACAATAGTCTCTTGCATGAATGGTGGATTCAAGCAACTTTCAGTGCTTCTTCCCCCAAATCACCCGATATCTGACAAGCTTGCTGAATCTCCAAGAAATTGGACATATTTTTAAACTAGTTCAACATAATTGGGGGATGATATCCATAGGCAACATTTTTAGGAATTAGAGAAATCCTGGAGTCTGCAGACAGCATATTATTAGGTGGCACATAATCCCACAAATTGCTGCTGAAACATAATTACTCAGGTGACAAAAAGGAAAAACACATCTGGATTGCATTTCCTGCATTTCCCTGAATTCGATTCCAATTCATTTAAATTGTATTTAGCTTTTCTGTGACTTTATCTATTTCTTTGTCTTTCTGCTTCCCATTTTCAGAATGTGAAGTGCATCCAGGTCACGTAAGGCACCCCAGCCTTCAAAGATCTGTCAGGAAATTCATGTAGGTTTTATTTATTAAATGACTACTGCTGATCATGCTCCTTTAGAGCGTCTAATCTGCCAGCTCTCTTAGAGGTTGTGTTTTTGACTGAAGCAGATTCATGCCTCTCAGACGAGAATAATATTTGAACAGCTGAAGGGAATGACAGGCAACAAACTAGAATAAACAAAGTGTCTGTTGTATTATCACATTCTTTTTTATTTTATTTTATTTAAAAAACCCATCCACTTTAGCTAAAGCATTCTTTGGCACAGAATTGCAAAGTAATTAATTTCTTGAGTCTTCTGCTAGGTCAATAGGAGCCGTATTGGCTGTAGTGATGAAAAATAAAAGAATCAAGCCCACAGCAAAAGGATGTGTATAGCGGAATACATTTGCTGTAAAGATATGGTACTTTTTACTTTTAAGGTCAGTGTTAAAAAGTAAGTAAATCATCTTTACTTTAAAGATCAACTTTAGCAAAGCATCTCTTCCAATGGTAGATAATCAGTCAAAAAGTAATTCTTGACTGTAAATGTTTGGAGAGTGTTTTCCTATGCCTAGGACAGTGATGGCGAACCTTTTAGAGACCGAGTGCCCAAAATCTGGCCCTGCCCCCACTCCACCCCCTGCCCAGCCCCCATTCCGCCCCCTCATCCTCTGCCCCGCCTGCCCGCAGGGCCACTCACTGCCTCCAGGGCCCGCCACAGATCGCCCAGGCAGCCCAGCAGCGCTATAGCAATCACGCCCTCTGCTCTCGCCCTGCAGCATCAACTGTGCGGGATGGGGTGTGAGGGCAGAGTCTTGTCTACGCTGCCTGGCTGCCATCCTGCCATGATGTCAGGGAGCACTGCTCCCTTTCCATAGAAGTGATACCTATTTATCTACTTGCACTTGCATGCTTTCAAACTGCTAGGTGGGCAGGTGCTGGGGCGGGGATGGGAGCTCACCCTGTTGCGGGGCACATGAGTCTTGAACCTGGACAGCTGGCTTTCCAGCCAACAAGCCCAGCGTCTTAACCGCTGAGCCACCGTGCCCCTTTCCTATGCATACAGAAGAACAACAGCAGGGCCTGGCCATGTAGA